TGAAGGAATAATCTTACGCAGTAACGAATGACTTCACACAAAAGTCTACTTAAAAATAAGCTGATGTCTACCCAGAGGGAGTAATTTAAAATAATTTTTAAAAGGTGGGAGAATTATACATCCACTCAGTTTTCATCAGGTGCCTACTATGTGCCAAGAAATTGATTTGACTCAACTGACATATTCTCTTTGAAGATATTTGCCTCTTTGAAAACTGGTACAGAGATGTCACTGACTGTCCCAATGCGTCACGTGTTTCTTTGGCAGAAATTATCTCAGACGTGGTTGGTAAATAGGGGAATGATGTCAGTCTAAGAAGTAAGCTGTGTTGATTCTTATGTGATTTCTCCTAGTTTGCTGATATTCTGATGCAATCATAGTAAAGCGTTCTCACCAGGACAGAGAAACAGTGATGTATGAAGACCTCAGAATGAAGCTGGAAATGCAAGCAAGTGCCTTCTTTTAATGTTCGTAGTAACTAATTCTAGCTTCAGGAACCACTGTGCTTTCTACTATGCTAGCCCGCCTGGAGAAGCTGCAAATTACAGGTAAAGAAACTACACAGACAGTATTACGGGTGATCACTTCATAAGGTATGTAAATATCTAATCACTCTGTTGTACGCCTGACACTATAATAATATATTGCATGTCAACTACAGTTGAAAAATAATTGTTAAAAAAAACACCTATAGGAATAAATGAAGAAAGCTACAGCCTGGTCCAGATTTAGTTTTGATGACAATGGTCTTTATTAGATGCAAATGCCCTCTGCCCTCTGCAGGGAGAGGAAGGACTCACGAGCCTGACCGAGGCTTAAGGGACTGATCTGACCTGTTAAGAGCAAACACCAGCCAGGTGGAGATTTAACCAAACTGTATTTTTATTAGATTTCTTTTTGGTTTTGATTCTGGTTACAAAGTTCCACACATTTTCAGCTTCAACCCTTTTTTCGCATAGCCCTGTTATTGTTTAGTGCATGATTCTGCAAAACGCAAGGTGTTTGTGCATGTGTGTGTGTGTGTGTGTGTAGCGCTATAGTAAAAATGCCTATGTCATCACAATAACAGAGGAGGTTTTTAACCAAAGTAAATTTCTTTCAACAAAACTAAAATTATCCTATTATTATTGTTATTTATTTTATTTGGAATTAAGTGAAAGCAGTATTTTCTAATATTATATATACCTATATATTATGTATACACACACAAACATACACATAATCACACACATATACATTAAATAAATACTGATGCATGTATCACTCCCAAAAAAGACACATGGCATATTTCATCCTTTTAAGGTAGAATTAAGTATAAGTAAATAAACGTTAACAAGCAGAAAGAACTATCACTGTCAAGTCCATCTCTATAAATTGGCCACTGCTGACTTTTTCTCTAGACATACAGCATTCCCTTTGAACATTTTTGTCAAGTGCAGACCTCCTCCTCCACAATGTCAGCTACAAGGGAGGGGGTGTAGAATACCACCAACACCCACATGGAAAGCTACATGGGTGAAGCTTAGATGCATTGGATCCTTCTAGTGAATAACAGTGTGGTTCTCTGCAAAGGGTCTCACTCACTTCCTTCCAAAGGGAATTTGACAGCCACCCCCACACACGGTGTTAACACCACTAAGAGAACAGAGAGTAACACCACAAGGATAACAAAGGTCACCCAATGTACTTTACAAATACTTAATTCAGTCTTCTGTTCATTGATTCAGTCAACAAGTGCCTGAATGTGCAAGGAGCTAGGGACACAGAGATGAACAAGACAAGAGAACGGGGTTTATTATTCCAATGACTAGGTTTCCCTGACACCCAGACATCTTAACAAATGACTGACTAGAATTTTAGAGGTGCAAACTCTAGGGCTTCCTGGAGCCAGAGAAGTAACATAAGAGTGAGGGAGAATGAAGTACAGGGAGAGTGATGAACTAGAGATCACATGCTCCATCTAAAGGTACTCAAATCCATCTTCCTTATTTACTTTTCAGGTAAAATAAAGCAAAATACATGGACAGCCAAGACCTGGCTCACAGACCACCACCTTAGGTGCCTATGTTTAACAGACTGTAGACCAGAGCACCTGGATAAGGAATTTCATTTTCCATCCAGATAGATATTGACTCTAAGAAGGTCAACCAATACTTAAGATCACTTTTCTAATACACCAAATGATGAGAACTCTGCTATAGGAAAAACGAGATGGAACAATCTATCAACATTAAAAAATCTGGAAACCGAGCTTGATTCCCTATTTCCTCATTATGACTGAAGAGTGCCATTACATAAACAAAGTTTTCATTTTCTGGCCTACAATCCGCTGTTTGGGGAAGGTTTACGCTTTACAATTTAGGTGTGTGAAATATCGAAGAGGAGATGACGAATCTCTATAATCCAAATCGCATCTTCACCAGAAAGGGTCAGAACAGTGTCAGGAGATACACAGGTGAAATATGTCAATTACAGATGTATAGTTCTTAGCCCACTCACAATGTGTTTTCTTGATCAGAGTTAAAAGAAGCCATTTTATAAACACTTAAATATATGTTTAATTAATGTAATACCAATATTGAGAATTAGATAATTTTCTTCTTTTTTTTCTTTCAAGGTCAATTAATGTACTGAATATTCCAAGTGTTATCCTTAAAACAACACCCTATTTTTTACACACACAACAATTTTACTAATATGCTAATGTGCAGTTAGCACTTCTTAATTGCTTTTTAAAGCTAAATTTGGACAACAATTTAAATTCCTCAATATATGTTATGCATCGTAGGCTATAAAAATGTTGACATTGGTTATATTCTCATAATTCAATTTAGCCCTTTAAGTAATGACTATGCAAATAACCAGCCACGGGAAAATTATTTTACATCTAGCACAATTACCTACTATCACAGAGGTAATTACTGTTATTGTCCTGTTTATTGAACTTCAATAAGAACTCTTGAGGTACTAGGATAGTTCCAAGGCCAGTGTGAAAATGCCCCTTTACCAGATTCATCTAGCAACTATAATCACCAATGTTAAGGAGAATAGTTTCAGATGAACATTAAACAAGAAATTATCCCCTAAACAGATAAATATTGACAGCTTCCTAAAACGTCCTCTTAACACCTTCATGATGCAATGTTTCACCCCGGCATGGTCAGCAGCTCTAAGATGACTCAATAACAATGGGTAGAAAAATCCACGTTCCCAACACAGTGAGTTTTGGCCCTGAATAATATCTACGTTTGGCCAATGCCCTAATAGAGCTAGTTATTCTTTGAAAAGCTCAACCAAACCTCCCATTTTACTGTGCTTCAGCTTTTGGTTTCAGAAATTCCTTTGCAATCTTGAAACAGACCAAAGTGTTTCCTGGGTAACCCACTGGCCAAAAATCTGACAGCGTTCTTCACCAGGTTTCTACCCAACTTCGTCTTCCTGATTAGCAACAGGGATGAGGAAGGCAGTAGGGTAGAGAAGCAGTCAACTTGCATCACTCTTTCATGAGTACCAAGATCACCCATCCATCCCACCTGAGCCCGCTCACTGGTGGCCCATGACTGGGCTTTCACCAAGTCCTGAATCATCGAAAAGACCCTGGTGGCACAGGAAGCCAAGGTGCCAACTTGAGTGTTCTCCATTTCTCTCACTGACTAGCCAGCAAATCCACCATCTTGAAAAAGCCCAGCAACCCAGAGGACCCAGAGAAAAATGTTCATGGCAGGTGAATCACCCCTGAGTCCCTCACTCACAAGGCTACCTTTTAGAATTTTACCAACAATTTTTTCCAAAAGCCTTGACACTAGTGTTAATGTATTTACGTTCAGGGAGTCAAAGTCCAGGCTGACTGAGGATACTGGTTTCTTGGAGGATCGGCAGGCCTGCTGGTTGAAGATGTCTGCTCTCTCAGATGCCTTATCCTGAACCTTCTCTTGGGGGGCCAACACCTCTTTGGAGGCATTCTCCCCAGGGAGTGGGGATTGTTTCTTGTTTGGTCCACTTATAGGGAATCCAAACGCACTAAGTTGTGTCCAGAGCTAGCTAAAACGTAGTTCCCCAAAGGCCGTGACTATTTCTCTATTTCAAAGATGCCAGACTAATATATACCTTGACCACTTCTGAGAGGCTTTCAAGATATCCGATGCAGGCCGCTCACCACCTGTGTGTACCTAGGGGCAGGTATCCACTGAAGGTGACAGTGTGTTGGGAGCATGGCTCACATCCCATGTCCTCTAGCAACGTGTTACCACCCACCTCTGACTTCCATGTTCTCTTCCTTCCACCAGGGGCCATCTGCAGCGCCCCCTTTCGCCCCCAGTGAGCATGACACCCCAAGGACCGCCCCCCACCACGCAACTGGTAGGGTTTCCGAGCTGGGGTCTGGGGCAGCAGGTGGGGGGAGGGGGCGGTGGTCTGGTGGCCCCGGGGAGCGGTTTGACGGGTGTCTCTCGACCCCCCACTATGCCGCCCCCTTCGCAACACCCCCACAGGACCCCGCCTCGACCGGGCTGGGCTCCGCTCCCATCGTCGGCCCCACTCCTCTCCCGCGTTCCCCGGCCACGCACCTCCCGCCCCGCACCCTCGCCGACAGCCTCGCGGCCCCCAGCATTCCTGGCACGTCCGGCACCGACTTTTACCTGTACTTTCTGCACTCAAGGCGGCTCGTCGGGCGAGAAACACCTCCCCGGGACCGCTACCTCCCCCGCCCCGGCTCCGCCCGGCTTCCTCCTTCCCCTCCAAGGCCGCAAAGTAGATGGAGTAAGAGAGAGTGTGTGCGAGAGAAAGAGAAAGAGGGAGCGGGCGCGGGCGCCGCGGGAGGGCGGGCGGGAGGGAGGCGCGCCCGGCCCCCGCCGCCCTCCGGCCGCCGCCGCTGCCGCCGCGGGCTCGGCAACTCCCGCTCGCGCCCGGCCCCGGCCCCGGCCCGGTCCCAGCCGCCCGGCTGCCGCCCTCCGCCCGCCGCCCGCGGGCTGGGGCCGGCCCGAGCCCACGCGTCCCCGTACCTCGTAAAGGTCCCCAGAAGCCATGCCAGGCTGCGGAACTTGGCTCGCCGGGTGTGCGCGTCTGCTCGCTCGCGCCCTCCGTGCGTGTGCGCGAGGGGGCCAGGGTGCGCGTGTGTGTGCGCGCGTGTGTGTGTGAGTGTGTGTGTGGTGTGTTGAGTAAACTGTGTTTTTGCAGAATGACAGGCTTGGGGGCTGCCTATGCGCAGAATCAGAGCGGGCGGCGGCGGAGCTGGCGTAACCGGCAGCGGCGGCGGCGGCGGCGGCACTAGCGCGGGCAGCAGCGACGGCCGCGCAGCGCGCCCGGATGGCACCGACGCGGCCCGAGTGCCGCGGCCCCCGCGACCCGGCGGTGGTGGCTGCAGCGGGCAACGGCTCGCCCCGGCGCCGCCTGCAGGAAGCCGCCCCGCGCCCGCCGCCTGCCCGGACGCCGCTGCCACTGGGCGAGTCCCCGCCCCCCGGGAGCCCGGCCCGGCCCCCGGGGCGGGGGGGGGGGGGGTTGGCGGAGGCGATTGCCCAGCCGCGCCCCGGGGGACCGGTCCGGGAGTAAGGGAGCTCTTGGGTCCGTCCCGCCACCCCCGGCCGGCTCTGAAGGCAGCTGGCGGGGTCCCGGGGGGTAGCGGGCCAGGTGCCCGTGGGGCGCACCCGGGCCCAGGCTACGAGGGGGCGGCCGGGGAGACAGGTAGAGGGCTACGGTGACACATCGCAAGGAAGGGGCCCAAGCTGGGCTCAGCGGGTCTCAGGTTCTCACCTCTTCCCCCCACCCCAGTGATAGAGTGGGCGCCGCGCTACGAGACCTGACTCCCCGGGGCTGCACAGCCCCACCCTGGCTGCAGAACCCCTCCCAGACTGGTTTGTTAGATGTGGAAGCCGCAGGAAGGAGGAAAGAAATAGTCCATCCAGAGACTCCAAGGAGGACCAGGACAGCACCTCATAAACCCTAGAGAAAGTCTTTAGAGCCAGGGTTGGCCTTCCCTCAACAACCCCTCACCTCAAAATTCATTCACTCATCCGTTATTAAACAAACATTTACCAAAGTCTACCCAAACTACACAGTGTTCCTGAAAAGGCACGACTGGGACCCTGCCCACAAGGCACTTTGATTCCAAAAGGAGAGACTAGCCACAGCACGTGAGGAATCAGTCGTTCAACAAAAAGGAGTTCCTAATACGCGCCAGCTTCAGAGCTTCAGGGACTGGAAAAGGTCCCTAAAATCCGAACTCCTTCAGTCACATCTTTCTACTAATATGGATTTCTGGTCACCCTTCTGTTTAAAGGCTTCTCTCCATAAAAGATATAGTTAACTCAGAACCTGGGAAGGCAAGCTCTTCTGAAATGGGAAGAAAGTTCTTCCTCAACCCAGACCAAAAAATGACCAGTTGGTGACTTTCTCCAGAGATGTTATGGATCTTAATTACATCATCCCTCCATCATTTCCTATTTGTGATACTTTGGACAAGTCATTTTACCCATCTGAGCCTTGATTTCCTCATCTCTAAATTGGAGATAGTGATAAACACCCAAGATGTTGTGAGAATTAAATAGAGGACCTAGGTATATATGAAGTGAAGCATACTAGCAGATCTCAGTATAAAGGTTATTTGTGTCTGCATTTGGACCCTGGATTGCCCTTGTGGAGAGCAAGAAGGGAAACGGGAATGTATGGCAAAGGGGAAAGGCTTAATTCAATTCAGAGGCTGTCAAGATTTTAAAAATCACCAAATTTTTCAATTCAAAAAATCTGCAGAATCTGGACCACAAAGTTTTCACGTCTGGCACATTCTAGGGCACAGGAGTTTGCATATGCTGTTCCCTCTGCCTAGAATGTCTTTGTACATTGAATCCATCTGGAAAACTTTTCCTCTTCTGGCAGGGACTTGTTTATCTTTGTATCATAACCCTCTATCACGATTCCTGCCAGAGAGTAGGTACACAACGAATGTTTGTCAGACTATTCCAACACAAAAAATTTTATAATGCTTTCTAGCTTAATATCCCATATCAAAATGGTGAGGGGCAGGAGGAAGGTGAGAGTGTAGAAAGCAATAAATAACAAAGTGTATTTGGTTTAGAAACTGTGGAAATTGTTATAGCTGTTCTGTTTTTCATGCTATTTTCCCAAGGGTCATGGTTTTAAATAATAACATTAATAATAAGCAGTTCTCTATCTGTACGTTGCAAAACAAATTTTAATGATCCTTAATTTGTACTTGGGAATAAATGCACCACCATAGCATGAGGATGTAATTTGGGAGTAGAAGACAAGACAGAAACTGGGTTTGCAAATAATATGCCCAGCCAAATTTGAATATATAATCAGTAGTTTTACAAAAACACCAAAAGCTTGACTTGGGCTGGCCAAATACTCCCTGGGAATGTGAGCACGGTTTGAAAAACTCTAGTCTAGACAACAATTGTTTACAGAGTTCACATAAGGGGATATTCATTGTGGATTGGCAGGCTAAGGAAGTATTTTATGGAGGAGTGGCATTGAAATGGCTCTTCAAGCCTCATAGAAAAGCAGTCTTTTAATTTGAGGAAAGAGGTAAGGGTAGGTAGTGCTGCAATGGAAGGGGTGTGACAAGACTGGAAGACTGATTTGTGGAAATCACAGATCATTGGATGGCAAATGCAGGTCAGTTTAGGAAGAGTTGTAAGTGCAACACCAAGTTTTCGATTTAGCACATCAGCAGTGGAAAACTGAAGACTTTTGAATCCATCAAAAGCACGCAATAATCAAAAGTGTACATTAGAAAACAAATTCTAGAAAAGGTGAGGTTAGAGGCAAGGAGATCAGCTGCAATGGTCCACCTACAGTGGTGGCAGTAGAAATGAAGAAGAAAAACTGGATTTGCAAGATGTCCAGAAGGAAGAACCTGCTGGCCCACCAACTTTCATTAGAGTTACTCCACCCACTTCCATAAAGCATTTGATCCAAATCAACAGGACTCGATGACTAACAGGATGTCTGTGTGTATGCTGTGAATTGGGGGCAGGGGTGAGCGACTAAGGAAAGAAAGGATCCAGAAATGACTCAGGTTTTAAACTAAATGACTGAGCTACCCATCCCTCATAACACTGTTTTAATTTGCCTACCCCCAGACTGTCACTGGCTTCCAGAAAAGCTAGGTGCTCCCCGAAGGATGAAGGGAAGGGTCTTCACTCTCTGTGGGAAGATCAGCCCAATCAATGGACAGCTCTCCAGGGTCTGCTGATGATATAGAACCACTGTTGCTCATGGGAAATGGAAGATACCTACCAGTGTTCCACAAACTGGAACAGACTCTTCGTACAGTCATAACTCAAGGGCAAACAGTAGGTACTCAACTCAAACTAATTTAAAACAGAGCAAATTTATTGACTCAGAGATTAGCAAGGATGGAATTGCTCTCAGGGTTGGCTAGATTTAAGGTCTCAAAAGATATAAAATGATCTCTCACTCTCTGCCTCTTTCTGCAGGATCAGCTGCCTCCATGCAGCTGGAAGTATGGGACTTAGGGGCACACATCATTTGACTTAAACACTTCACACAGTATTTCTAAATTCCAGAAACGGGCTCTTCTTGGCTGATGTCGCCTATATGCACTGGTTTTGGCCCAATTACTGTAGTCAGTTACTGATTGACTAGCTTGTCAGATGCCCACCTAAGGGGCAGGAAGAGTATAATGATTGGAAGCTTTACCAGAATTACATGATTGCAAGTCGGGGTGAACAAAGGCCAGAAGAATTGGGGAATGGATACTGGGAAGATAAGTGTCCACTACATGCCTGAACAAGCCTGGGCCAGATAAGGAACTTAGAAGCAAAGGCACTGGCTGCCTAGAACATACCCTTGTAATGGAGCAAGACTAGCCAGTTTAATATCCAAGGAGAGATTTTATACTCTGCCCTGACAGTGGCATTTGAATGTGACAATATTCTCCTTCTAGTATTACTTGAGACATGATCTTGACCTCCTGTATAGTGTGGTGGTTGAATATATGGGCTCTAGAGTCAGATTGCCTGAGCTAAATCTTGCATTATCATTACTGGGCTCTTGACCTAACCTCTCTGTCCTTCCATTTCCAAATGTACTTTTTTTCTTTTGCTGCTCAGTAAATTATCCCCCAAACTTAGTGACTAAAAACAAAAGGTATTTCTTATCTCGCAGTTTCTGTAGGTTAGGGAATCAGGAGCAGCTGAGCTGCGTGGTTCTGGCTTACAGTTTTTTATGAGATTGTAGCAAAAATGTTGGCTAGGACTGCATTATTTGAAGACTTAACTGAGACTAGAGCAGCTGCCTCCAAGGTAGCACCCACACATGGTTGTTAGTAGGAGGCTTCAGCCCCTGACCACGTGAGCATTTTCATAGGGTTCATTGAGTGTCCTCTTGTCAGTCTCATCTAGTCCCCCAAATCCAATGGAATAAAACAAACTGTCAAGGCTTCGACTCTTCAGCAAGGAGCAACTAATTAATCTGATGTCTTTTTTTCTTATATATTATGTCAAGACTATTTTTTATGATTCCATTTATTATTTTATTTTCTTCAATTTGATTGTTGTTTGATATCTTTTTAAATTTTTAATTGTACTTTTTATTACCATTTATCCCCCTTATAATCTGATGTCTTAGTCCATAATTGAGAAGGCTATTTGATACAAAAGTGATCTGCTGCATGTCAGACTAACTGACTGGGAATGTCATCTGATCCACACCCCTCACTTTAAAAAAGACAAAGCTAAAACCCAGTTTGAGTAATCCAAGGGAGAGCAAGAAGGAAGTCACGATGCCTTTGGCCATCTAAGCTTGGAGGCCAAACACTGTCACTTCTACCATATTCCAGTCCTTTGAACGGAGCCACTAAGCCTACACCACACTCAAAGGGAGCTAAATTAATTCCCACCCTTCAAAAGGAGGGCCATCAAAGAAACTGTGGATGTATCTTAAAACCACCAATACCACATTTGTATACTGAGGTGATAGATAACCCGTAGAGTTGTTCTAAGAACTAGATGGGATAATCTATTCAAGGCACCTGCCACCAATAAGGGCTGAATAATGGTATCTGTTATAATTACTATTACAACTACTATTACCAGTTTTAAACTTGACTGGTATTACTAATACCTTTGAATATGCTAGATTAATATTGAAAGGCATTAAATCAAATAAAAGCTTCAAAATGAATATTGTTCTCAAGCCGCATAGACACTTTTATTTTTAATTAACTTTCTTCTAATATTTATTTTTAAACATCTTACAACAACAACAATAATAATAACAATAGAAGTAAAATTGTACTTATTTATTGTCTATAATGTGTTAGGTATTATTCTCACTGAAAAAAAACAGATAATGCCCTGCCTTCATGAAGCTTGTAGTACATTGGAGGAGA